GAAGCACCGGGCCCCAACCCAGACCGGGGGTCAGGTGAGGCCAATGCAGACAAGAAGCAATCCAGTCAAAAGTGTCATAAAAATAAGGCCTCGCAGATATTCAAGACAGATACCATAAGGAACTTCAACTTAATAAAATACTTCCACCTCACCCACACCTTCATCACATGTCCCTCATTTCTTAAGCATTCAGAAGCTCCTGAGTGTCAGGGAGGGAAGCTAGGTTTTTACAGCAAGTGTGTCAACGAGGACAAAGCCCTGTGTGTGCATGGCACGGGGCAGTGGAGACCCCAGGACCAGCACAAGGGGCCATGTCAATCACAGTGAAGCCTGATTGTTCCTTGGCGTTCTGTCACACCAGAAGGAATCCTTCACATGTGTTCTTGTTTTCTGTGTTAAACCACTTCATGACAGAACAAGGAAATCATTTTTACATTTTTCTGGGGGCTGAACTGCTGCAAAAAGTGAGAGAGCAATTGCAGCTTTCAAAAGAGATGCTAATTGTAGCTTTTAAAATATTAGACTCCCTCTAAACATGCGCCACCCTCATCCCCTGAGAGCTTCTGGGTCTTTCTTAAAGGTGCTAGGAAGATACTGCCTCACAGACTTCATTTTCCTACCTAAGAGTTTAAAAACAACTTTGCTGAGTGATTTTCCTAGTCCTTCAAGGCTCCTGAGTCTCATACCTTCAGAAGCACTGGGAAGGACAATCTTATTCAGACAGTAAGTCCACTATAGTCAGAAAAGGGTCATGGGGCCACACAAAGACAACTCAGCCTCCTGCTTTATTTCACACAAAGTGGGAATTCCCACCTTAATTTAGCCTTTCTCTTTTTTTTGGAATCGGGGTCTTGCTCTGTCGCCCCAGTTAGAGTGAGGTAGCACCATCTCAGCTCACCACAGCCTCAAACTCCTGGGCTCAGGTGATCCACCTCCGCCTCCCAAGTAGCTGGGACTACAGACTACCACACCTAGCAAATTGTTTTATTTTCTGTAGAGACGAGGTCTTACTAGGTTCCAGGTTGGTCTCAAATTCCTGGGCTCAAGCAATCTTCCCACCTTGGCATCCCGAAGTGCTAAGATTACAGGCATGGGCCACCATGCCAGGCCTTGGTTTAGCCTTTCTACCAGAAGTCAGCAGGGGAAGACTTGGGGGTCTTCCCCCTAGTGGGAGGTTTCCGAGACAAAGTTGCAGTAGGAGGGTCAACTACTCAGACCTGCTGCTTATTACTGCCTGGGGGGTAAGAGGGAGGCAAATGCTGCCATGCTGGGAATTCTATTTATAAGCACTTTTCTTTACAATAAGATGACAAATTGAGGAGGGAAGGGGGCAGAGTGAGTAGCAGCAACTGTCCACACAAACTATTCCTTTAAATTTCATTATTGAAAATTAGCACTCTATTCCAGCCAGAAGAGGAGGAGGAGAGGTGAAAAGAAATAACAAACTATGGAACAAGACCAAGATCGAGTTACATACACATCACTGGGGGGATCGGCAATTGTTTTAAGAAATGCCCCACATTTCCACCAACAAAGAGGAAAAGAGACCCAGAAAAAGTCAGCCATTATGCTTGTCAAGCCACCCACACTCCTGGCACTTAGCTAGAGATGTGGATTACGCCAGCCCCTCGGCTGTGAGACCTGTGATACAGTGACGCAATCATGTGTCCCTGACCAAGGAACGCATCGTGAGGTGATTTTGCTGTGATGCACGTCACAGAGTCGCTCACACAAACCTACATGGTCTAGCCAACCTCACACCAGGCTACCTACATTGTGCTGTTCTGAATACTGCAGACAGCTGTAATACACTACAAGTATTTGTGTATCTAAACATTCCCTAACATTGAGGAGATGCAGTAAAAACACAGCAGAAAAGATAAGAGTAGTCCATCTCTCTGGGGCACTTATTGTGAATGGAGTTTCCAGGACTGGAAGTTGCTCTGGTGAGGTGGTCAGTGATGGGGGGTGAGTGGGAAGGCCCAGCCGTGACTGTACACCACTGTGGACTTTATAAACGCTGGCCACTTAGGTTGCACTAAAGCTATTCTCAAAATTTTCTTTCTAAAATAATCAGCTAACCCTAGTTTACTATAATTATTAATTTATAAACTTTTTAATTCTTTTGACTTTTGTGACAATATTTACTTTAAAACATATGTTAGTCAGGTGTGATGGCTCACATCTGTCATCCCAGCACTTTGAAAGGTGGAGGCAAGAGGATTGCCTGAGTCCAGGGGTTTGAGACAAGCCTGGGCAACTTGGCGAGACTTCGTCTCTACAATAAATCAAAAAATTAGCCAGGTGTGGTGGTGCACGCCTATAGTTCCGGCTACTTGGAAGGCTGAGGCAGAAGGATCCCCTGAGCCCAGCGGACCAAGGCTACGGTGGCCATGAGCATGCCACTGTACTCCAGGCTGGGCAACAGAGACTCCAACTCAAAAAATGAAAAGAATTAAATAAATAAAGCATTGTGTATTGCTGTACACAAATACTTTTCTTCATTATATCCCTATTCTGTAAGTTTTTAAATCTATTTTTTAAATTTATGTTTTCTTTACTTTTTAATTTTTTTTGTTAAAAACGAAGACACAAACACACACATCAGCCTGGGCTACACAGGGCCAGGATCATCCATGTCACTGACTTCTCAAGTCTTGTCCACTGGAGGATCTTCAGGGGCAGTGACATGCATGAAGCTGTCATCTCCTATGACAACAATGCCTTCTTCAGAAATATCTCCTGAAGCACCTGCCTGGCACTGTTCTATAGTCAACTTTCTTTTTTAATAAGTAGAAAGAGCACACTCTAAAATAACAATAAAAAGTATAGTGTAGTATACTATAGTGTGTGTGTATATATATATATATCACATCTTATTTGGTTTATTATCATGGTCAACTACTATGCTCCGTAATAACTGCATTGCTACAGCAGCACAGTAGATCTGTCTACACCTGTATCACCACAAACACGTAAGCAATGCTCTGTGTGCCAACAGCAACAGAATCACCACACAATGGCAGTTTTTCAGCTTCATTATAATCTCACAAGAGCACAATGTATGTCCAAAATATGGCTATGCAGCACGTGACTGTGTGATTATTTATATATCTATAATAAAATACTTTTCCTGGAAATGGAAAAATCTGCATTCTGATCTTAAAAAAAATACTGATCCATAGTCAGTATACGAAAACACTGGCTGCACTCACTTCCTGCTGAAAAGTATGTGATTTATAAACATAATTATGCAAATATAAATATCTTATCATTTCACATCTAATCCCCAGTTACACGGATTTCAGTTTTTATGATACATATACAGAGGGTGCCAAAAAAAGTATACACATTTTAAGCGATGTTATCTATGTATTACTTTCTGAAGTTGAATTAAATCACTTATGACATTCACTCGACCATGCTTCTGTCATTTTTTCTGTCCTGCCTGTCACGTGGTGATGCTAGCATTCATCTGATGAAGGTCATCTTTTGAGCAAACGTCATACTTTAATGTGTATCCATTTCTGGCATCCCCTGTTTATCCAATTTATATCATAGGATTGGAATCACATTGAGGGGTGGATGACCTAGTGGTTACCTGGGGCCCTGAGCCATAAGTGTTTAGACTGACAAACACCCCTGGGAATAAAATCCTATATGACAGAACTCCTCTTAGGGGAACTGCTGAGAGTGGATGGCGGGGACAAAACTGAAAAGAAGCCTGAGGTGGGGACGGGAGTGGCCATGAACCAACACGCTCAGGCATGAGCCCACACGCCACGGCCTCGCATTAGGAAATATCCTTGGATTTCTACACTGCCATCACAGGGAAGTGGATCCCATCGGGACACTTTCTGAGTGGGCACAAGCAGTACACCGCCACCAGCACCTTCCCTCCCTCCCTCTTCTCTCCTGTAAGCAGCCTCACCAGGCACCGTGGCTCACACCTATAGCAGCTATCCGAGAGGCTGAGGTGTGAGGATTGCCTGAGCCCAGGAGGTTGAGACTGTGGTGAGCCGTGATTGTGCCACTGCACTCCAGCCTGCACCAGAGAAGAAGAACCGGAAGGAAGGAAGGAAGGAAGGAAAGAAGGGAGGGAGGGAAGGAGGGAGGGAGGGGGAAGGAAAGGAAGAAAGACAGAAAGGCAAGAAGCAAGCAAGCAGCCTCTCCCCAAATGATGGCTGCGGAAGCAGGTAAAGAATCAAGGATGTGACAGGACAGGCCAGAGCCCATCAAGAGACCCCAGGGCTTGCTTACACCCTGAGCACATCGATGCCTCAACCACACTTGACATTTCCTTGACATGTGGGATCGATTTCTCTTCCTTATTTGTCCTTGTTCCTCTCTAATCAAAACACACATTCCTACAAGTCTCTAGATGCAATCAAAATATGTGATTAAAGTGATTTGCAGTGGGGGTTAACCAACAGATCCACCCTAGCAGGGACTGCCGATTGCTAACAAGGGAGCCATTTTAACCTAAATCAAGAGTACACTGGCAAAACATGCTTGGAGACCGTCCCTGTCTCTAGAAGAGTGAAGAACCCTTTCCAACATCTCCCTGATGCTCGGCCTGCTCCTCCCCTTTGCCCAGGAACCTCTAAGCCCCGTCTAGGAGCACCTTCTATTTGCCAGTTGGTTTATTCTGGTCAGTTCCCTGCAGGGGGTGAAATATTCAAGGTCCTGATGCCAAGTACCAGGAAGATACCGGTCACGCAGTACCTTTCCTACAACACTCTAAAATTCATTCATCGTTATCGGGGGTGGGAAAGCCATAATTCCCAGCACCACCCCCACCAAAGCCAGTACCACATGGCACAAGTCAGCTCCGGCCTTGCACAGTCATTCAGAGTTTCAGAGCGACTGGAAAGCGCAACTGAGAAGTCGCTTCAGTCCACAGTGCCGGAGGTGAGTGAAATGAAGGCTGTTTCCTTTCTAAGAGAAACCACTTAAGCAAGGGGCGGGGGGTTGGTTGGAGAAGGAAGGAAGGATGAAAACCCAGTTGGCAGCTGACATTTACTTGAAGAGGAGCCAGCAGAATGAGGGGCACAGGCAGAGTCACAGCGCAGAGGGAGGGAGCGATGAGAAGGCCTCCTTGGCGCTGGTGAACTTGCGCGGAGGCAGCCTGGGCTGGGAGGGCAAGGCACAGAAGGTGCCTTCAGGGGTCTGAGGATCGAGGGGTGGTGTCTGCGAACTTACGGGGATGGACCGGCTCAGGAATCTCGCAGAGGAAGAAGAAAGCCCGGCGTAGGCGGGCGGCAGGGCGGTGGCAGCGTGTTCCTCAGGCTGGGTGCCGTGGGGGCCCAGGGGGCTGTTCAGGTTGCCCCCGGGGCTGCTGCTGCCCCTGATGTACTGGTTGTTGTTGAGCTCAGGGTAATGCCGGGTCGTTGGCTGGGAGCTGCCGTTGGTGAGGCTGGAGAACGGGCTGGCTGCGAAGCCTGCCCTAGGGGGTGAGGACGCCCTTTTGCTCTCAGGATCCTCGGTGGCGGCGTTCAAGTTCCCTAGAGAGCTGGCCAGCCGGGAGTTTATGGAAAAGCTGGATGGAAAACACAGGTGGGGGGAGAGACACAGACACATGTGTACACACAGAGCTCGTGTTCCCAACACACATCACCACACTGGGAGCATGACGAAGATGATTCTGATGGATGCAATGGCAACAGGGTGGCTTCCTGATCACCCCTGGGGATGGGACAACAGTGGCCTTCAGCGACACATGTCCAGTTCCTTTGTCAAAAGCAGTTGACTAGGCCTAAGAGGCTGACTGAAGCATTCTGAAAGAGATCTTGAAACAACCTCTGGGGGTTCTAAGTACGTGAGGGCAGGAAGTCACTGAAAAGGGCTGTATAAGGAAGGTTAAAAGCGGACCTGGGCACAAGATGGCATCTTACATGTCCAGTCATGTAACCACATCCGATCACCACCTGCTTCAGTGAGTTCTCACCTGCCTACACGCCATAGGCGAGAAATGGCAGCCCTGGTTCCCATCTGTGTGTGCAACTGAATTCCGTTTTCTGGCCCGCACTAAGCAAGCCAGAGCACCGCCGGAACAGGATGTCAGGTGCCATTGCTCACGGTCCTGTCCCCAGCCACGTGAGATGGGAACAGAAGTCCCAGGGGTCCCCCCAGTCTTTGGGGGCTTCTCCCCTTCTCTGCCAAGACCATGGCCAGCTCCTTGCCTGCCACAAACGCCCCTCATCTCAAACGCCCTCACCTTGAGCCAGTGCTCGGAAGAGGGAAAGGAAAGTTACCTTCTCACACCAGCACCTGGAGACAAAGAAGCTCTGTTTACCCTCTTGGCTGTCGGCGAAGGGGACACAGCCACCTTTGAGGTCTTCAAGGTCATCGCAGATCCTTGGGGGCAAGAACTTAATCTTTGTTGAGAAAAATGGGCAGAGGGTCACACTGCAGTAGTGTTATCGTAAATATTCAACAACTAACAGGGACAAGATAAACGGATCAATCTCACAGATACAGTGCTGGGTTCTCATGATGATGGCAGAGTGGCTGCCAATGTAACACAGCACTGACTCCGCTAGGGGCTGTTCTGGGACCCCCCACACGTGGTGGCCCAGCTGGTCTCACAATGTCCCTACAACTACTGCCATGCCCACCTTACAAGTGAGGATGCAGGAGCACAGAGGAAACGTCCCTGATCCAAATCACTCCATAGTGAGTGACTGAGCTGGACTCAGGCCCATGATTCCATATCCTGCTCTTGTGCCCAAGTCTTCCTCAGCCATTCCCATCTCACTGGGGCGTTCGTTCCCTGGCATGTCCTCAGATGCCAGTGGTCACATCTCCAGTCCCACCCTCCCTTCCACCCAGCACCTGCCTAAACGAGGTATCATGATTTCTTATCCTCAACCATCAACGGCATCTTATAATCATATTCTTTAACAATTCAGATTCCAAAGGGCCTCCAGCTACATCTTCAATATCTGGTCGTTTTCCTCACTGTTCAGCCACTTAATGCATCCTTGGTACCCAGAAGCCTCAATCTCTGGCTTGGCTTATGAAGCCCTTCTTATGGCTGGTGTGGCCTCTCCAGGCAGCCCCACTGAACATCTCTGCTCCAGCTGCACCCATTGCCTCTGCTCCTCAAAAGAACCGCATCCAGGCCGCCCAGTCTGCATCCTCCTGCTGTCCCCTCACCCACCTCCACTGGACTCACTCCCATCATTCATCCTTCAGTGGCCCTGTTAGCTGTCACCTCATCCAGAAAACCCTCCCTGAATTCCCAAGATGGGTGAGCACCCTGCTTCATCGCATATTCCCACAGCAAGTTGCTGCTTATACCACATTCCAGGTCTGACAGTTCTCTATTCCCTTCACTCAATATAAGATCCTTGAGAGCAGAGACTTGTCTCTCATCTCAGTGTCCAGTGGCTGCAAATGCTGGACTCAGAGCAGGTGCCCAGCTCGCACTTGCAGAGGAGACAGACATGGGAAATGACTCAGATCTGGAGAGCTGGAGCCCAGTCACAGTTTTAATGTCAAATGGTTTATCCTGGACAAACCATGTGATGTTGCCAGACTATTTTCCCCATCTGCTAGGGAGAAGCTTATGGACTTGCAGACTATCTCCATCATCCACCCTCTACCTGAGCGTAAGCAAATGTTCTGCCTCTAAAACAAACACGGGGACAGTTGCACAAGGAAGACTCGAGATTCCACAGAGCTCTGGGCCCTCTCAGGACTGCCCCCATGAAACCATCCCAAGCACAAGGTTGAGTAAGACCCAGGGGAGAGGAGGGGAATTCACTTCTCTCACCCATTTCATCCAACATTTCCATAGCTCTCAGCAGGGCCTGTGCTGGACCCTGGCACCACTCTAGGGATGTTCAAGGGACATTTCTCAGAGGAGGAAAAAATTAACATTTCCTCCTCAAATGGAAGGTAAGGAAGGACATAAAACTAGAAAATAAAGGAGGACAAACACATGCAAAAATAGGGGGGAAAAGGCCTTACAGAAATGAAAAAAAAAAAAAAAGCAGGTGACATCTGCCAAGGGGCGGAAGGGAGGCTATGGCGCATGGAGTTCATCAGAGACCCCAGGATGCGTCAAGAGAACAGGACACACAGACGCCACCACCACAGTCATGCAGCCCCATGGGCATGGCTTTCAGACAAAAATCCCCTTCATGGAGAGCATCAGGAATCAAGTACATTGCTAACAGTCTGAAGGAGGAAGGACAAAAGTTAAAAAGCCAACAGCTTCACTTTCATTGCTTGAGGCTTGGGGAACATGACTAAGAGGAAGCACATATGACAAGCTACGAGAATCGCAGCCTCGTTAACCGTACCTGAAAGGCTGGGACACTGCTCTCGGGTGCCCTTTCAGATCATCTGACCTATGGAAATCAAAGACAAAGGCTCAGGGACTGCCAGGCTCACACATTTCTACCAAGACTAAGCACATCGTGTGGTACCAAACCAGGAAATATATTCAACTGGCAAAAGGGAGAAGTCTTGAAAATAGATACTAGAATACTAAGCAGAAGTGTGCTCTCCCATTTTCTCATACCTTACAAGATGATAACCTCACCTCTGAGCTATACGAACCTTTATTTCTTAAATCAGCAAATCAGCACTTAACTTAAATCTGACTTAAGTGTTATAATCCTCCCAGATAACACATGAAGACTAAATTCCCCCTGAATCTGTGGGATGTTTACCATACTGACAAAAGCCTTCCTGCATGCATATCTCTTACTCATAAGTCAAGGAAAAGTAGCTGTTTCCCATTCTACTCATTCGTGGACTAGGTCCTGGCCACACAATGCATTGCAACAAAGAACCATGATGATGTTTATAGAAGTTTGTGCCAACAGTGATCCTGAAACCTTTTCTAATTAAGTTAGTCTGAACCAGCAGCAGGTTTCAAATGTTGTGGTGAGAAGTCAAGTCCCATCATTGATTCTGACTAATAGTGTCAGACTTCAAAATCAAGATGGCAGATAACATTACAGGTAAGAATCGCTTATTCAATTCTCAATAACAGAAGGGAAAGCCACAGCATTAATTAGAATATACCAAAGACTGGCATACAGTGCTTTTCCACACACTAATTTCAATACAAAAGTCTCAGCACATCTGTGAGAATTAACCATAAGACCAGAAACCCACTCACAGGAGTGGGGCAGAAATCCAAATGGAATATGCAACACAGTTCTGGGATAACTCATGCTTAGAGCGTGAGGCAGGATTCCAGAGACTGAGATGTGGCTGTTGCTTTCAATAAACTTCTCTACACTTTAGCTACTCCCAACAGTGATCAAATAAATAACAGATAACTCAAAATAGTAAGGAGCCAAAAGACATGAGGTTAACTTGGCATTATAGATTGCTATTCAACAGAGAAGATTAAATGTTCTAATCCACACAGGAATCACACTATGAATTTGAAAGCTAAAAACAGACCTACCTAAATGCACAGGACGGTGAGGTACGTGGCTGTCTCTGACTTTTTAAGGCACGTAGTTTGTCTCCCTGGGTAATACCATTTTTCATTTCCACATCTTCATCCTCTTCTAAATTATTCTGGAAAAAAAAAACAAACGTTCCACAGGATGGTCAGTAAAAACATTTGCTTTCTATAGATTTCTTAATAGATTTTAGGTTATGTATATAGATACACTGCATATAGATGATCTTAATATGGATTACTTTTAAGTTGCTTAAATGCACTAAGAATTCAGCACTGTCCAAGTATATTATACACTAAACAACACTTGGTTATATGCCAGTTAAATGTCAAATTCCAAACCAAAGCAGCATGGCTGTAATGTGGCAGAATTTAAAAGGCATTGTTTGTTTTAGTGGACCACAACCTAGAGACACAACAGTGCCTTTTCTACAGCCTAGACACAGAACGGCTCAGCAGATACAGTACAAATACATTTCCAGGTACAGCCAGGCACCACCACTGCAAATTCTACAATTTGCTTACAAAAAATGCAAGATAAGATAATTTAGGATATATACAGTAATTCATCTTTTTATTTTAAAGATGTGGGGTACAATTCAGGGTTAGGTATACAAATGTTCATTATGCAGGTACCCTTGAGGATAAGGTGTACCCCGCCCTCCACTGGTAGTTTCCCTCAACTACCAATCCCACCCTACAGTAATTTATTAACAGAGTAGTCATTAACACTATTAAAAGCATTCAAGCCCTTGCAGAAGGATTTAAATGTTCACCAGATGTTTCCTTCTGAAATAAGTCTTCATAGTTTGAAAAACAGAAGTGCCATATTAGTCTTTTCACATGCTGGCTCACATTTACTTCTCATGACACCCGGGGTCGGGAGAGGGCACACTTGCCCTTAATTTATAGATAAGAAAGGAAGTATTCATGGAAGTTAGGAATATTGCCTAAGCTCTTAATGACAGAGCTATGAGATAAAAATTAGATTTCTAGATTTCAGATGCAATGTTCTTTCTAAAATATATGCCACAGCATTGCTAATATTGCATCCATAATGATTGTATTTTGCTTTTTTCCCTCACTTGAAAAATCAAAGTGCTTCAATTTGTCAAGATCCCTTCCAGCCATAAAAGTCTCCTCCCCTCTTTAAAACTAGGACTCTTAATTGATGAAGATATAAAAATAAACCTCCATCAGTCACATTCTAGTCATTGGGGCTCAGTAGGCATGTCCTGGGTAGGAATAACACATCTCATGACTTCATTTATGAGGAAAGAAAGAAAAGGAAAAGAGGGAAGGGGCGGGGAGGAAGGAAGAAAAGAGGGGGAGGGGGGAGGGAGGGAAAGAATGAAGACAAGCGAAATAAAGCGATAAGAGAAGGAAGGAAAGACAAAGAAAGAAGACAAGAGAAAGAAAGAGATGAGAGAGCAAGGAAGGGAAGAGAGAAGATGGGAGAAATAAAGAGATGGGCAAGAGGAAGGAGAGAAGGAAAGAAAGAAAAAGAAAGAAGATGAGAGAAAGCAAGAGATAAGAGGGAGGAAGGAACGAAGGGAGGGAGAGGGAAGGGAAGGGAAGAAGAAAAGAGAAAAGAAGAGGAGAGAGAGAAAGGGAAGGAGGGAGAGAGAAGAAGGTAGAGGATGAGGAAGGGAGGAAGGGAGGCAGAGAGAGGGAGAGAAGGAGAGAAAGAGGGAGTGAGGGAAGGAGGGGGTAGAGAGTGAGGGATAGGGTGGAAGCACAGGACCTGCAAGAAAGAACTGAGGACAGAAGCTTCCTAGGAGAGGGAGCCACTTAGTGGAACTCTACACACAACAAAGCAGCCCAAGACCCTACAGGGCCTCCTCCCAAGGACACCAGCTGAACAGTCAGGGCGTCATGGAGCCTCCATGTCAGAGGCTCTGAGAGCCACAAGTTGTCCCTCTATAAAATCTCAGGAGTCTATCATACTATTATCCATTTCTGTTCATACAACCCAGTGAGGGAGGAACACCTCACCCCCAAAGGAAGTCTGCAGGAAGCAGCCAAGAAGGCCTGGGGCTGGGCAGAGGCAGGCTCAGCCTCACCCAGGTGCAGGAGTATGGCATGCTGCAGTGGTGCCAGTCCCCTGGACCTGATGGCAGGACTGGCACAGAGCCAGAGTTTCCAGACCATGGGCCTCGTGAGATGGACCAGGGGAGATTCTGGAGGGCCTGGCACAATCCTTCCCCATCAGTTTCATTGGCCACTGGGGGCCTGTGTAGGCACTTGAAAGCCATAAAAGCTCACCTGTCCCTCCAACCAGGAGGGTCTTTTGCATTTCTTGCTCTGAAACACCTTTACAATTCTAAGAAAAAGTGATCCCCAACTGCAATCCCAAAACTCAACTTCTCAGTTAAGTGTAAAGGTAGAACAAAGACACAAAAATGTACCTCCCCTCCCATACAATCTTTCTGAAAAAACCATTATAGGCTATGCTTCAGGAAAAAGGAAAGAAGATTATATGAGATCCAGTTGGGGGCCCAACTGAAGAGCATGAAGCAAAGTCCTAGGATCAGAGCTCTATACTAGGGCTGGGACGACTTGGTTAGAAAGGAGAAATGTCTTCAGGAAAAGAATGGAAAACATCTTGCTGTGCTGAGATTCTGAAAAAGTTCAAAGCTGCTTGGCACAACTTTTGGGAGGCACAGGAGTGGCATTATCTTTTCCCAAATGTATAGAAAACTATGCAAATAAAAGAGGCTCCAGGAAACACAAAGAGAAATGCAACCAAGAAAAGCCACAGTACACCTCTGAGCTCATCCGTGAACATTGCATGGTAATCACGTGCACATTACTGGGGTTATGGCATGGTGGTACTGGGAAGCTAAGGGGAGGGGTAGTGATTGCACAACAGAAGAGCTAAATCCCATCTAGGATAACCAGGAGGCAACAGAAAAATGCCCCACACTCTTAATTTTTAAAACAGTAGTATAAACAAGGTATTGAGAAATATGGTAGGAAAAACGTCAGCATAATCTGCTTAGGGGTTTCCCCCTTTGGGGAGTGGGTTAGGGGTACAGAAAGAGGGGACAGGGAACTCATGTCTTTTATTGCTGGAATGTAACACTTTTGATATTTTTTTAAACCATGATTATATATGACTTTAAAAATAAAAGTTAATTTTAAAAGATATATAGTTTTAAAATTAACAATATATTTTAAATTATGATTTTTCTCTCATTCTATTGTGAATCTTAAAGGTCAAATCTTTTTTTGTAAATTAGGATATGTTTCCAAACCAGACAGCAACACAAATACTGTAGCACACAGCCATGCACCTAACTACCCAGATTTAACATGTTTTTACTTCCTTCTCTCAATTATACTTAAGTTAGGCACCTCATTCTCAAAAGAAAAAAAACTGTAAAGTCCTAACTCTCAACCTGTGGAGAAGGAATCCATGTCTTTTCTTTAAAGATAAAAAGCACATAGATATAGATATTGACTTACAATGTATTTGTATATATACCTTATATATACAAATATACTCACCACATAAAGATATATTTATCACATGACATGTTTAAGAGAAAGTAGGCATGAAAAAATATTAAACTATCTATATACGTACCATCAAAGTAAAACATTAACATTCTGGCACACAGTCTTCCAGAATGTTCCCTGTGTGATACACAAACCCCCAATATACTTCTTCCTTACGTAAAGAGGTTGTATTATACACCTATGTTGCTTTATAACTTAGTTCTTTTTCACTTAAAAAATATATTGTGTTTCGGTACAAACAAACAAAAAATTTCAGGACAAACAAAAAAAGACCTCTACATTATCATTTTATGGGTCCATAAAGTCACATTGTCTAGGTATGACAATTTTCATTATTTAACCAATACCCTAGGTCCAACTGTTCTCTGCCTTTCAGCACTAGAAACAGCCTTACCAAGCACCTTCTCCTAGGTATACATGGTTTATGAACACTGTCCTATTATTGCCTTAAGACAAATTCATAGAAGCATAATTCATGCTAAAGTCTTATTCTACACATTGTCTAACTGCTCTCCAAAAAGGCTATACAACTCCAACTAGCTACTTTTAAACACTCACCAATACCATACATTTCTTTAACACATTTGATAGGCATCTCATCACTTAAATTTGTGTTTCTCTCATTTCTAGGAATGCAGAATTTTTTTTGTGTTGATCAGCCATGAGGGTCCCATATTGTTTCATTTTAGTACATGGTGCATTCACATTGATTGGCAAGCGTTCTTTACACACACCAAAAACAACCCTCATTTACATATGTTAAAAGTATTTCCTTATAGCTTATCACTGTCAGGAGGATGAGGAGACTGAGACTGGGTGACCATTCAAGCGACTGTGCCGGGACTGATGAGAGGTGATGACTGGACTAGAAGGTGGGAAACCACAAGAAAAGGTCTGGAAGGGCAGCACAGGTCTGAAGAAATCTACTAAAATATTAATCATGTTGTTGTTTGTCTAAACCAATAGTCCCTTATTTTGTTTCTGTGGTAACTGTGTGTAATCTGGGACATTTTTAGGACTCAGAGATATATAACATATAAACTATAAAACGCTCTGTAAGTAATTAACAGCCTTCAAAATCTTGGCAAATTAGTTGTACAATGTTATTCAAAACACATTTACAGAATTAAAAAACTAAAAAGCCACATGGAAAAAGAATGTTGGTGCCCTGAAGCACTGAAGAAGACACACAGACATGACATAACCAAGCCTCATATTTGCTGGTTGATTGATCCTATAATACATTCCAGGTCATAAGAGCCTGTGGACAGGACATGTTTACTAGAAAATACAATTCGAGAGCTAAGCGCTGTGGCTCACACCTGTAATCCCTTTGGAAGGTGGAGGCAAGAGGATTGTCTGAGTCCACAGGTTTGAGACCAGCCTGGCCAACTTGGTGAGCCCCTGCCTCTACAATAAATCAAAAAAAATTAGCTGGGTGTGGTGGTGCATGCCTGTAGTTCCAGCTACTTGGAAGGCTAAAGTGGAAGGATCACCTGAGCCCAGCAGGTTGAGGCTGTAGTGACTGTGAGCATGCCACTGCATTCCAGCCTGGGCAACAGAGTGAGACTCCAACCCCCACTCCCCAAAAAAG